TATATATATATATTATACTGTATATCGACAGTGTATTTACCTGTTTGTCTGAAGTTTGGCTCTAACTTCTTAACTGACCATGAAAGTAAGCCTTATAAGTCTTTTAGATTTGAGCATTAGCCCTGTGCTCCTATGTTTATACATTGCTAGATGCTAGATTTTCCTCTAAAAGGCATCTACAGCATTATAATATACATAATTTTCAGGAAACACTGTATTCTGAGTTATTATTGCAGTGTTTACATTAAAATAATTTTTGTTGTGATTTTTCTATTTTTGCATGCTTGCTCTTCCGTATTACATTACATTTAGAGATGTGTAAATCGCCCACTCTAATTTCTCTCCTTCCCTGCTCAACAACTGTCACACAGGGAGTGCATTGTTGTCAATGAGTCAGCCGTCTTATAGACTTGCATTGTGAGAAGGAGCAGTATAGCACTACTGTTGTGTAACATTGAAAAGCTGGAATACGAATCCAAGTATGTAATGAGCAAATATGGCTGCCCTCACGTACCAATATAAGGAAGAATGCTTTAAACATTAACACACAAGATTATTTACATCAAGCTGATTTTTTTTACATGCACTATTACAAAACATCTAAAAAAAAAAAACAACAACATTGTGGATCTTAATTTTTTTAAGTGTATCCACATTGTCATCTGAATAATTACTTTCTTTTGTAATTAACATATTCACAATTCAAACTGGTGTATTGATTTATCTGTGCAGCCTCCAGTCAGAGAAACTCCGACAAGAAGAATTACTAGATCGTCATCTGTTCAAACACAGAGTTATTCTTCAGACTCGGACCCCTTCAATTCTTCCCCAGGTATAAACATGTAAATTCATTATAATTCTTTTGTAATATATTTTTTTATTAAATCTGTCTCCTATAAAAAAGCTGTCAAAAAACAGGGCCATCCTAAATGGACTTTAGTTTTGAAATGCATATATGTTTTGTTTACCAAGATATCTCTAATACCTTTTATCTGCTTTTGTTAATCTCACACCCTTCCCCACTCTATAGGGGGGGGGGGGGGGGGTGCCACCTTTATACAGAATTGCAACTCGGCCTGATACTGTGTTGACTCCCTTCTTATTGTATTATGAATGTCCTTCACCTACTGGTGATGTCCTACTTTTTTGCTCTCTTTCCTCTAAACATCTTACCCTCTAGCTCCCAGTGCCTAAAACATGTTTGGATGGTAGCTATATCTTAAAGTATGGGTACCCCTTCTCTGTCATGCATCTCAGGCATTCTCTGCCTGATTTCTGTCATGCAAGATAGTATGGGAAGTTTACACAGTGGCTATAGGAGTGGTAGGGTGAGCATAGTTGGGCTGCTGTTATGGCAACTGAAATATAAAAAACATGTGACTTTCCGACATGTGCACACTAAAACTTTTGCATATTTTCTTTTTGTGCACAAGAAACTGAATCCAAAATGCTGCTCATGATTAGCTATGGAGCTGTTTAGAGAGAGTGCTATGGCTAGTGCATAGCAAATGGCAACATCCAGCTTGGTCATATTATTCACTCGGTGCAATGAGAGATATCACTGTGGTCTAATTGGACTTTTTATGCTTATTGTGTTCATTAATAAACAGTAAGCACACATCAAATGTATTGAAATTCATAAGGATACTGGGGAGAAAGCTGTTTTTGTGTTTTTATACATTTTCCAAATGTGAACTGTATGCTCCCCATATATTGATTATTTATCCAATCAATACAGGCACTGAAAATAACACTTCTGCATAGCTCAATAGGTTTTTTTGTGGCTCATCAATGTTTGACGGGGTTGAACTCCATGAACGTGTATGTAACGTTGAGTATTATCAGAAATAGTGTTATTTTTGTTTGTGGTGTCTGGGAAGTTTGTAGTCAGCATGTATATTTCTCACACTCCACAGACAAATAGAATGGCTTCTGCTCTCTACACTATCAGGCTGACTTATTTTAAGGACTGTGGTCACAAAAAGTACTATGTTCTAGTAACTACATGGGGATGGTAAACAGAACCACCAGTACTTTCATTTACTAAAATATCATATTATTTTTACCAGGTTAATGTCATTTTAAAAGTTATTTTCAATATATTTTAATCTGCAGCTTTCATTAGAATAGAATACTATTTGGTGATCCTGTCATGCAGGCCTTTGTTCACGCATTTTCTGTTATACGGAGACAGTGCTCTATTGCTGTCCCCTGCATTGACACCCCTTCACACTGACTTCCAAGGGAGACTATAATGGCCGGTTCCCACCTAGGCGATTTATCGCGCAGCTTGAGTCGCGCAATATCACGCAAAACACAGATTCGCATTGAAGTCAATGGAGGCTGCTCACACCTTTGTAGTCACGCGAAAAGGTGCGGGAGCTATTTTCGGGCGGTTGTCGCGTGGTTTGGGTCCCATAGACATCTCTACGCATTGAAAAACGCACGACAGTCGCAAAGTTTACAGTGAACAGTCGCACGAAAACAGCTCGGCATCTGAATCGCCTAGGTGTGAACCTAGCCTAAGCATTCTCTAAAATTAAAACATGACAGTTGTTTATTATACACAGTGCTTTTGCAAAGTTAAAGGTGAACTTCACCCTCCCAATGAAAATGTATTTTTTTCCCCACTTACCTTTAGTGCTCTAATTATGCTGTAATTACATACTTCCTGGTTCCTGCAGCCGTCCTCCCAATGACGTGGTGCCAGATCTTGCACATGGGCAGACAGAGATCTGACGCAGTGTGTTTGATGGGAGATGGTGCCCTTTAGGCTCCTGCACGTTTGGAATTTAGCGCGTTTTTGCGCGCAGTCGTACGTGCGAACAAAAATGTGTATGCACTTTTTGCTGCGTTACGTGGTTTTGTATGCGCATACGAACCCGCAGGTGTGAGCGAGCCCCATAACAATGTATTTTTTGTGTGTTTTGTGCATGCTTGCTCTTCCAAAAATGCTCAGGGGTGAACCAGGCCCAATGTTATCCTGTTATTTGGCTACATGCCAAAACCAGCTGTAGACTAGCCTGAAGTACTCCAATCACAACTCAATGCAACTGTCAAGCAGGGATTGTAGTCCACATACATGAATTCTCTCATTAAGCCCTGATAAGGGGGTGTGTTTCGGACCCCCGAAAGGTGTTGACTACTCTACTTGAATGTTTCCTGACCCTAATGGGATAAAGTTGTACCTGGACTTGGAATTGGTGTGGCGCTTCAATTCCTACATCTACTGTTTTCCCTGTCCAGCCAAGGATTTTTTGGAGATCCTTTGGATTGCAGAAGCTGCCTACCTGTTAGCCAGGTCACATATATTCACATCACGTAACTACTGTTGGATGAGAAACATCAAGAGAATAGCCACATGGTTTCAGCACGTTCTTTCCACACTTTCAAATATCTGGGAGTCTAAATATGACTGTGCAATTCAATAGGCAAGAGAGTTAGACCCACTGCGGTCTGTAGTGCAACATACCAAGCAAGCCCCCTTCCATTTTGTGCAACACTAGTTTGTGTGATTATGGCTGTGACTGTCATTCAGCTATGCCAGCACAGAACACCGCAGTGTGAGACTGAGAAAAAAGGTATTTGACCCTTTTCAGGTAAAAATACCTAAATAAAGACTTCAGTATTTGACACTTCCAGGAGTTACTCAGCTATGCCAGAATTAGACACTGTAGTATGATTGGCTGAGAGAAACAGGTATTTGCCTGAAAAATGACATCAGCATTTGACACTACTAGGAGCCTGCATCCCCCCATGTGCAGTGGTTCTTCTTGCTGGCACCTATGCCACTTCAGGATGTAGGGGCTGATGGGAGGAACTACAGCGTGCAACGGGGGGTGCAGACCATCGACATTTCCAGAAATGCTGGAGGTTGTAACAGTAATTACCGGTAGCGGTTATTCCAGTTTTCATTTTCTGTTTTTTATTTTACAGAACCATCAGAAAATTTCTTTTTTCCAAGCTCCTTATTCAGCGACTGCAGTAGTGATGGTTTGCCTGGGGATTCCACTGACCTATCAATGCTACCACACCTTGCAGATCTGGTCAGCTACAGCATACAGAAAGTCATTGGGTTTGCCAAGATGATACCTGGCTTCCAGTAAGTGCAACAAGTAATTAACTCAATGGGGATCTTCACATCTGAACATGTAGCTACGGTTAACAAATATCAGTGCACTAAAACCTATGTTGTATGTCTGCAGTATTTTGTTTTTGACTTAGTGAAGGGTGTTCTTAGACCTTTTCTATGTGGTCTAAGAACACCCGATAAGGTTCTGGTATGGATTTTAAGGGGGCATCCCATACAAAAACACAAAAAAAAATGTGTGGTTCCCCCTTTACATCAGAATCCCCCGTTTACAGTAGGAACCCCTTCACATCAGAAGTCCTCCTTCACATTAGGATTCCCCTTCATTTTAGAGTCCTCAGAGTATTCCCATCATATCAGGAGCTGCTGCTGCTGCAAAATGGCAGAGAGCAGGAGGCAGATCAGGCCTGGATGGAGGCGAACTTCCATCCTTTTCTGAATGGATCCCATTCTTCCTGAATCAGCGTCATTCTGGCCTGCCTGCACCATGGAAATGCATTACGCCATGCAAAACATTTTTGAGGCACCCCTGAGGAAGTCAGAAAGCACCCTGGTAGATGAAGGCTGGTCTATAGTTATCAGACCAGGTTCTAGTTGCCATTGAAGTGCAATGTGGTGAGTCTGAATCTGTAGACCAGTTCTCTCATATAGAGTCCCTGTGTGGCAGATGGGTGAGATGAGAGAATAGAGACACATGAGTTTGATATGCTTTTGCACTTATCGCCTGCGTGTACAAGCCTAAAATGGCAGGATAGAAATGAATTAACAGTGGTTCCCGTCCTTGTGAATTTGGCAGGGAGAAACGGCAACCATCTTGTTTGTGAATACTTTACTGATGTTTGTTGAACAAAGCAATGGTAATAGCAGTAATGTGTTTTGTTTTGAAATGTAGTGACCTCACTGCAGAGGACCAGATTGCTTTGTTGAAGTCATCTGTTATCGAAGTTATAATGCTGCGATCTAACCAGTCCTTCTCCCTGGAAGACATGTCCTGGACATGTGGCAGTGAAGACTTTAAGTACAAGCTTGATGACGTGACACAAGGTAAAATCAGGAAAGAGATTTCCCAAAGTGCATTGCCCATCTTTTGATAAATGATGTCAGCCATAGGTATCCGTTTGTTTTTCTTTGAATGATGATAAAGTAGGCTGTGCAACATATTTACAGTTAAAGATATGATTATGTTATCCTCAGACACCTGCATGTACAGTGTATTGAGAGCATATGAGTGCTAGATCCATTGCACAAAGCTGAATCTTTACATTGAGGCTTTAGTGGAAAGCATCATGTAAGCCCAGGTTCATATCATCCTTCATCTAAAGCGAATTTGTATGTGTTGTATATGGGAGCCATTCATGATGTGCTTATAGCACATTGATTGCGCATTTCTGTTTTTCTCTCTTTTGAGTCTACTTTTGACTTAATTAGTTTATATAGGTACACTGGTCACTTGATATTTAGTTGTTACATGTACAAGCTTTACATGAGGTAGTAATCAAAAGATCTTACTACCAAAATACTATTTTTTTTAAAGCTGCAGTATGTACTGTATATGCACTAAGAAGATTTCCTGACAACAGCTTTCGCTTAGTTAAGCAATAGCAATTGTCTGAGAATTTCCATGCTACACTTCTGATTCTTCCACTAATATTTGCTGTCTAAGGGGATCTCTACACAGGCCACAAAGATTCTACACTCATACCTATGGTTGTTTCCAGATCTGAACATAAACAGGCCATACTGTGCACTAATCATCTCATGTCAGTGGCTGTCTTTAGTCCTTCAGCCTGTTCCGACTAATGGATACAGGCAGTCCCCGGGTTACATACCAGATAGGGACTGTAGCTTTGTTCTTAAGTTGAATGTGTATGTAAGTTGGAACAGGTACATTTTTTACGTGTAACTCCAGCCAAAATCTTTGTTTGTTTGTTTGTTTGTTTTGGATAGCATAGGGAAGGGTTAACCCCCCTGTAACGTTTGTTTTGCTGTGTGTGCCCCTGTTCAGAAGATTTCACCTCACCTTCTGTCCCTATGACAATTGGATTTTGAAAATGTTGGGTTATCGTGGAAACAAGGATTGGTGATAAAGCTTCAATGGAGATACCTTTTTGCATGATCACTCTTACAGGAGTGAATTTCCCTTCCTAAGGGTGGATTTTCTTTCACTTCCTGTTGTCCTGTTAGCCCGTGTTAGTGCGTATTTTTGAAGCGTTGCACTGAAAAAAGTACAGCATGCTCTACTACTTTTTTTAGTGTAACGTACAGCAACTCAATGCTGTCCTGAACTGTCCTCATTCACACCCATTCAGTTTTTGTTGCCCTTGCATTACCATCCATTAAAAAACAGATGGTATTCTGACTCCAACAATTGTATTAGTGATTCATCCCTTGCTGAGACCTCTATGCCTGGCCTGTATAAGCAGTTATAATCACTGCGGACAATCCTTATTGGATAGCTCACCAAATAACTTGTCATCCACGAAGATCTTTAGGTCTCGTTCACACCTAGGCGTATTGCATATGCGCGTCTGTCGCGCGACCGTTGCGCGTTTTTTTAGCGCGATTCGCGGTAAAAAAGTTGCGCGACCGTCGCGCGTTTCCGAAGGTTACTTGGCTGTATCCCAATGGAAACGCGCAACAAAACGGCCCAAAGTAGTACATGTACCTTTTCAGGCGTGGGCCCTTTTGTAGCGCGTTAGGGACGGGCGGAAATACGGTGAGAACGAGACCATTGAATACAATGGGATTTATATTTTTGAGCGTTTTGTAGAGCGTTCGTCGAGCGTAGAACGCGCTACAAAACGTTCAGGTGTGAACAAGGGCTTATTGAATGCAGCAGGTTACAGCAGGCAACAGGATGCAGCAGATGATTGAACTTATGGTATTCGCAGGTCAAAACATGGTAATGTTTCCACCCATGTGAGCATATTATCATGTGGCCATAAGACAAGCAGCAATTTTGATGCCATAAGACAATGTGAGGAAGAAAGGGGAAATACATCATACAATGGGAGGTAACACAGAAAAAAAGGAAATTAACTATATAAATTCTCCCTTCACATTAAAATAAATATTAACCATGACTATGCATTGTGTCATATTTCCATGCAATAGATGTAACATCACAGATGGTAACACAGCGGATCCAGTGTGAATGGGGCCTAATTCTGCTATTTCTTGTACCTGAGCTCCTTCCTGTGATATTGTTGGGCAGGCAGAATAAGAACAGCAGGGTTCCTTCTTTGTTAACTCCACAAGTTTAGCAGCAGACACAGCTCAATGATCATGATGTCTTACCCAGCAGTGGTAATGCAGTATTGCTGACTTGTGTGTCACATGCTAAGGGATTAATGTGGGTTGCTTCAAGTCTATAGATAACAGCAACAGATGAGTCCATGTATTTAACAGCGTGAACAGCATTTCTGTGAAAGCATAGAAAATAAATAGTAGTTGTTTTTTCACTATAGCTTTGCTTCATAAAATGTTTCTTAGCTGTAACTCCAGTAAATTAGTGGCCGAGCTTTTGGACCTTTACCATTCCTTCCTAGCAGGCATGTGATGCCTTCTGACTGATCAGAGAGTTGATTCTGGCTGGTGAACAGAAAACAGTAGCCAGATTATGGTGTGTACTCACAAGCTGGGGATACTGTGCTTGTGACCTTTAGCACGTTCTGTATTTAGTGGTTCCAGGCAAGTATAAGCAGAAATATTGCAGGCAGTTTTATGATTCTGCAGATCGTATGATGGGGCAAGGGGGCTTGCTGCAAAAGGGCAGCAAATGGTATTGTTTAGTCATGGACACTGCATAAACCCCATTTGTTCATTAAAGTTTATGTAAACCCTAATTGCGAACTCCTCTTATTTGCTCTCTTTTGTTATACATGTTCTATAAGTGCAAAATAAAAAAAAAGCTTCTGATCCTGCCAGAAACACATTGAGCTGATACAATATCTATATGTGCTCTCTGCATGTGCTGCACTGTCATTAGTTATCATTGTTCCCATCTATCTCTGTGGACTACGGGAACTACAGCACACCTCCCCAATATGTTATGTAGAAAAGGAGATGGGTGTTCTGTAGCCCTGTCCTACGGTGACAATGCTACTTATTCATAGAGTACAGTGAGTGAGCGCTATCACCATAGGACAGGGAATGTGTTACTAGCAGGATTGCCAGGTGAAAAAAGTTTAAAATCAAAACCAATGCAAGCATCATGTCTATGAATAGTAAGATGCAATTGTTTTATTTTTGACTTGGATTTTAGTATGGTTTAACTGTGAAAACTAGGTGTCGTTTTTAGGGCTTGTTCACACCATGTACGGACCAGCACAGTTTTTGTCCACACCTGAAATGCATCCCAATGTATTCCTGTGGTATTTCTGAGCTCTGTTCTGTGCTCTGTTCACACCAGTGCAGTGTTTTTCTGGTCTGGATTGCACTGGAACACATGTACACGAATCAAAAACGCATGCAAACCCCTGCACCTGAAAGCCCATTTTAAGCTTAAAAAACCCCCACCGGAATGCATCAAAAACGCACTGCACTGCGTTTGCAGATATACTCCAGATCAAGTCCAGACATGGTGTAACAAAAGTAAAGCACAATTCTATCTTAAACAAAATTCTATCTTACTAACGTGAGTGATGGCCTGAGGTGATATGATAGGTATTATGGTGACACAGCTGAGCTTTCATTGCTGTCTCTGCTGTGTGTAAATGTCAGGTGCACTTTAAGCTGCTGATAACTTGGATAACTTGAAATGATTGCTGTTACTAGGATTGCTTCTGTAAACGCTGCAATAGTCTATTTAATGGTGCTGACCAGACACTTATTAGCCAGGTCATTTATTCTATTGCAGTCAATTGTTCCTCCAGAAGATATGCAGAACACACAGTCTACTGATAAGGGCTGCTAACATGTGTTGGGCAGGCAGGCACCTAGTACTGGAAGCACATGGTTACATATTGGGGCATTATTTGCTTAATGTTTCATTTAATGCATATACTGTATGTTTAATGGCCTAAGAGATTGTCATTCATGACTTGATTGTTTGGTTGAGTTGCACATCATTTAGTGCCCACACACACGCTTCCAATCTGTAGCTATGACTTCATTCTTCTGTTTTAAAAATCAAGCCAAATCAATTAGAAGTTGTTTAAGTTGATATTGGATAGACTGAGTAGGATATCCCTAATGTACAAGCTACATTATTAACGCATTTAAAAAGGAACTACAGGAACTGTAAAAATTAACCCGGCTGATCCTTCGGCTCGCTTCGGTTGCGGGAGCCCTTTGGTTCAGTCAAAACCGAAGGGCTGCTGTACGGGCTAATCACTATAGCCTGTACAGCTCCTGAGGGAGGCCGACCAGCTCAGCCAAGCCGAAGGCATATGCTGCGGCTCGACTGAGCCAAAGTGAAAGCCAAGGCGCCGGACAAAGGCCAGCCAAACGCCTCGCAAATGACAGCTGAGCGGAGCCAGCTGTGATCTCACAGCTGGTTTTGCCCAGTTGTAATGACAGATCAGTGTCCCCAAATGACATGTGGATGCTGAACTGTCATTAATCAATGACAACTGATTTTTTGTTCCCAACTTTTTTCATTGATTTCCTATTCTACTTGGTACCACGGCGGTACGGCTGATTTCAGCCGATGTACGGCTGAAATCAGCCATGCAAGCCTGAAGTGAATAGCCGAACAGCGTTCGGCTCCCTTCACTTCGGGTGGGTCATTCACTCTGCTGCCTTCAGCAGCCTTGTGAATAACTCTATATACCTCAAAGTGTATCTAAACCCAAGAACAAAAATCCTTAGATTTGGTGGCTGCATTAGTATTCTTTTTTTTTTACCTGGCAATGCTGCCAATAACTTTTCCTGGCCTAGAGTGACGACACTCACTGTACTGTATCTATAGAGGAACAGCCTTGTCACCCTAGGACAGAACTGCAGAAAACCTCCCCTTCTCATTGCCATAAAGATTGGAGAGATATGTTTTGTAGTCTACAGAGAAACACAGGTTATCTGCTCAGAAGATTTCTGGCAGGATC